ATATTTTATTGACTAATAACTAACATCTAAAAAGACCTGCAAACCATATGCTTATGCATTGGTGCTCTGGAGTAAGAGTGGGGACTTCACATATTGTCCTGATTGTGGTGATACAGCTTTTCTCTAAACTCATCATTCACACAGAAATCTAGCTAAACAACCAGCATAAAGGACAAGTTTCTACATTAAAGCTGGAGAACCCCTTGTTGATGATACAAGAGGACTTTAAAAAGTTCATGGAAAAAATGGAACTAAAGTGAATTCCAGTGGAAAAAAATTTTTGAAATCCATGCAACTGTTTTTTCATGATACACATTTTCCATGAACTTTTGAAGACTCCTTAAATATGAAATAATCTGTTTCTAAAAAGAGATTTTATTCAGTCTTGTTTATCACTCTGTGTCGAGCTTGAACCCAAATGTAAATTTATTCAGGGGATTTTTCTGACTCAGAAACTATAAACACAAGAAACTTACAACCTGAAATCTGAGCCTTCTCCTAAACACTTCTTAGGGTACAAGGGGACCTAAACTGTTAGACAGAAATGAGAATTATACTATTAAGTCAGAGGTCAAATTCAATAAGGAGACTTAAAGCAGAAAAATGTCAAGAATTAAGGTATAAAGGAATAAGTAGGGACTCTAGGTCCAAGATCAATATGTGCTAAGCCCAGGAGATTCAGGAAAAACAGGTTAAAATAAAACAAAAACAAACAAACAAAAAAACACAGCTGTGTAAGTTCATAGGTTGGGGTTTCCAGGGAGTTAAATATAAAATATCCCCAGAATCCCAGAATGTTCAGGTCCTAGGGGCTCTTAAGAGTAATATAGCAAGTGGGAAGAAAGGTAGAAAGAGCCCTAGAGTCTAATCCTGACGTCATCACATACTAATTGTAAGACCTTAGGCAGACATATCTTTAAAGTTATTATCATGAAGAGCTTTCTTATAGAATTATTGTGGAGAATTAAATGAGCTAATACATATGTAAACACTTTGGAAATGTAAATTGCTTTATAATTTATATAATTATAAAATTATATTTTATAAAATTTCAACTTATATTTTTTTTTTTAAATTATAATTTATATTAATCTCTTATATTCTTTTTTATATTTTCTAAAGTTATAATTATAAAAATTACAATTTAACTTGGGTCACATATTTCCTTTATAAGTTGTGGAAAATAAGAGGTCTACTGGTATTGTGGTTCAGTCACATATAGATCTAATAGAATTTTTTTTTCACAAGTTAGTTCTGCCATCCGTGGAATATTAAAAAAGAAACAATAAATTTTGGAAAGCAAGCCATTCATAAACCAGGAACTGCCCACATATGCAATATGATGGAGAACCTTCAAACTATTCATGCCTATAACTTGGAAAGGATCCTATGTTGAATGTTCTTTCATTAACTTGCCTTATTACTTATCAAGTAAATAAAGCACCTATTAACCTATAAATAAGGACCTGTTAATTTGCCACATTAGTCATCAAGTAAATACATCACAGACAAGTTTATCTCTGCCAGACTCCACAAATACCAATTGGTGTGCTAGTAATATTAAAGAAAACAGTAACGATAACTAGAAAAATCCATTCATAGTTCTAAGTGCGGCCCCAAATCAGCAGCATCATTATCACCTGAAAACTTTGTAGTTTCAAAATTCTTGAGCCCTACCCAGACTTACTGAATTAGAAACTCTGGGGCTAGAATCTAGCAATCTGTATTTTAACTAGCCTTCCAGGTGATTCTAATGCTCTATGGAAGTTTGAGAACCACTATATTAGATTGAGAATAAAATTAGCATCATAAACAGTGTTTTTATTTGTAGATTACTAGGGAATGTTAGCCAGTTTTAGCAAGTTTTAGAACAGAGGAAGTTTCTTTTTATTCTTTTCTTTTCTTTTTCTTTTTTCTTTTTTCTTTTTTTTTTAATTTGTCAGAAGGAATGTGCCCTCACTGGAGAGAGACAGAGGGAGAGAAAGAGAAGTAGAAAAGCACCCTATCACAACTCCCCATCCCCCACCCTCCATCTTTATTCCACCCCTACCCCCACCACCATGGAGATGACCACACCTCAATCCCTTCTCTTCCATTTCTCCTTCAGGATTTTGGGCACACATGCACCTATGCCCAAGGTGTTTTTCAAGCCACCAAATCCGGAACTTGAATTGCACAGTCAGCCACGTAGGAACCAGCTGCCTTAACCATCATACCACTGGCTGGCCCTAAGGGAAGTTTCAATGCAACATCTGTAATTTAAAATTACACTAGTGGGGCCAACAGATGGTATAGTGGTTGTGTCACTGGATTCCCACATGGCCAATTGAGATTGGAGTCTCGGACCTGGCAGCTGGCTTCCTCACTTTCTCACTTTCTCTCTCTTTCTCTCTTTCTTTCTCTGGTCAAATTTAAATAAATAAATAAGCAAATAAATAAATAAAGTTAAATAAAATAATTCTTAAAAAAATTAAAATTACACTAGTGAATGCATGACCAAAGACACATAGCTCTTTAATTTGTATTTATAGGCTTATTGTTTAAGAAATGTCATATTTCCATGAATTTGAATTAGGTAAATGTCCTGGTCAAGTCCAATTTCCTGAATACTTGAGCAATTCAAACACTCTCATAATATTTAAGCATATTTTTATTTACTAAGAACTCTAATCAAGGTATGGAAGCTCATACAATTAGTCTTGGTAATAGAAATGTAAATTAAACTCAGTTCATTAATTCAGCAGAATCCTTCTTTGTTTGGCTTTTAATAGTATTTAAGTCTAGCTATTATGTTAATATGTGCCTTGTAAAGTTTACAATACTTAATAATATGGATAATAAAATTATAATTTAATTATAGTAAGACATGAACAAAATAGATTTTCAGGAAAAATATATGCTGGCATTTTTTTCCTATAAAATTAATAAAAAGGAAAATTGTCTTAGTTCATTTTCTTTTGCTATTACAGAATGCCTAAGACTGGATAATTTATATAGAATTGAAGTGTATTTGGCTCATAGTTCTGGAGACTGGGAAGTTCAAGAGCATGGCACTGGCCTCTGGGGAGGGCATATGGCACACCATGGCAGACAGTGGAAAGGCAAGTGAGTGTGTAAGACAGAGAGAGAAGGGGCCAAACTAATTCTTTTTAAATCAGGAATCCACTGCACAATAACTAAGCTGCTCTCAAAATAATGATCTTAATACACACTAGCGGTCAGAGTCCTGATAATCTAAACACCTTATTTATTTAGTTAATCTGCTAACTGTGCCCACTGAAAACAGTGAGAGGGAATATGAGAAAGCATCTTTATGGGGGAAGGTCATGCCACAATCCCCTCTCCTCCACTTCTTTTTTCAGAATTTTGGGCATGCACACATATACACCCAGAGTGTTCTTGAGCTACTAGATACAGGATATGAATGGTACAGTTAGCATGTGAGATCTGTCTACCTTAACCACCACATCACTGGCTAGCCCTCTAATCACCTTTTAAAGATTTCACTTCTTAATGCTATTACAATAGCAATTAATTTCAATGGGAGTTTTAAAGGGGAAAAATATTTAAATCATGACAAAAATCTTACTTGGACAGTGATTGGAGATAAATGTTCATTTTTCTTTTACCTATTTTGCCAAAGTCAACTACATAAGTCTCAGTAAAAGAGTAAACATCTCTTAAGAACTAGTTAGCATTTTTCTTTCATAAATGACATTATTTTAAATATTGCATAAGAATAAAGTTGCATTGTCCATATTACACCAATGGTGTATCCTTTATCAGTGTGAGGGTAAGAGCACCTTGGTGGAAGGACTCTGAACTCACTATTGAAAATTTCCACCAACCTCCATTACACTTCTGAGTCATTGGAAATTATGCCCAGGCAGTACAAAGAGAGTGCTAGACAAATATTTTCATCATGAGTTGGAATTTTCTTGAAAGTTCCTCATCAATAATAACCAATATTAAATGTAATTTTCTACTACAAACCATACTTTTTGACGTTAAAGGAAAGGAAAGGAAAGGAAAGGAAAGGAAAGGAAAGGAAAGGAAAGGACAAGAAAAGAAAAGAAAGAACAAAAGAAAATAAAAGAAAAGAGAAAACCAGAGCGATCACCTTTCCACTTACTTTCACACACTCTCCTTGTAATATTTGGAACCAGCATCAGGGTTTCCTTCTGCATTCTTACTTAGCACCCAGAAGTGTCCACCTGGAGAGGAAGACATAGACCACCCACACTCTCCAACTTGACTATAATTCTGTCTCCAGGGCAACTGCAGTAGAATTTCTAGCCCTTCTCTACTCCCCCTTATTTAAATTGTTGCTCCACACAGCTTAAAAGAAAGTTTTGTTTTTTTCCCCAAATGAAAACTGAGAAACACAGAATAACATTTCTAGCCGTAAAGAGCCTACTGATGTGATCTAGGGTTTAACATGTAAATCTTAAAGTTGTGGGATTGAGCAAAGGGAAGTGTGCTGCTAAATTTATGAGACTACCACATATATCATGAATTATGTAGGTTTAAAACTTAACATAACTAAATATTTTAAAAATAACCTTTTATAATAGCATTTTATAATTACAGTGGGCCCCTATGGTGTGTGAATTATGGCGTATTCATGTTTAGTTGCATTGACTGCACTCAGCTTTTAGCCATGTGCCTAGCAACACACTGGGTATGAATTAATGTGTAATAATTCATTGCCTGTTGTGCCTTATTAAATATAGCATTGATTCAATTTTAGAACAGCAACATAATGACTCAAATATTTTTCAGAATTCTAAGTGCCCCATATGATTTTCATCTGAGAGCCTGTTTTCACATTTGCAATCCTCACTTACAATAGTAATATTTTCCTACTGCAAAGCACAAAAAAAAAGGCAATTGCCCACCAAAAACTAAAATCAAATGCTGAAAAAAATGAGCCTGTTTTCCCCTATAAGACACAAGAATCTTCCTCAGTCCAACAATTCTGCCTTAAAAAGAGGGGAGGAGTGTTTGCATCGGCAGCACATATACTAAAATTGGAACAACACAGAGAAGATTATCATGGCCCCTGTGCTAGGATGACAAAAAAATTTGTGAAGCGTTCCATATTTTTTGACACTGAAGAAAAAAAAAAAAGAGGGAAGGAAAAGGTGACTTGTGTTATTTTTTAAAGTCATTTAAAAAGCAGTTTTTAAAAATTCCAATTTTGTTGTTCTCCATTATTCTGTAGAGCAAAATAATAACAGGTCAGGCTTAGAGGTGAAAATGCCTGGCAGCATGCTGCGAGAGCTATGATCTACTTCTGATTCTGTTAATTTGATCTATACTTACCCATAAGTCACATAATCACTCTGTGTCTCAGTTTCCTCACCTGTAAAATAGGTTTGATACTATCTCTTTTTCTACTCTAGCGGTTGCTGTAAGAACTAAAGTGAAGATGTTATCTAAATATAATTTATTTTAGGCAATGCGCCTAGTCCCATACTAAGTTCACTTTTAACTAGTGAAAGAACTTTCATATCCACCATTTCATTAAAAACTCCCAACAGTGCTGTGGGTAGACAGGTATATTTTTCCATTTTACAGCTGTCTTTGGCCATAGGATACTTTTTCTCTTAATGGGAGATATACATGAAGTGTGAAAGGCCTAAGCTAAATAAAGCATCATTTCCAATGTCAGTTAGAATTCACTTGATGAAGAAACAGAGACAAATTGACAAGCATAACTCAGTGGCAAAATTAAAACCCAAATTCCAGTTTACTGACTTTCATCCAGACCAGAGACTATGTTTTAGCTGAAAAGGTTGAGCAACCACCTTGCCCTGTAATTTCTACTTGAGCCAGTAAAATTTTATCACCATAACCTCATACAGCCCTAGACACAACACAATTGGATGTCATTTTAAAATGACAGTGTTCAGTTAGTTCAAATTCAAGAATCCAGTATTTTTCCCATGGATATTCCTCCATGTATTCATGTTGAGAATACATGGAAGTCATTTTTAAAAATGGCTTTGTTTTAGGCATATTAGATCTATATTTCATAAACTGAAAGATGTTATAGAGCTTTCCTTTTGTTATTAGTTAGCTACCATTTTGTTTGCTATATGCCTTACTTCTTCCAGAATTCTGACGTCTACAAGAGTACACTATAAAAAACTTAAAAAATAAAAAAACAGTATCTCATATAAGCTCATGCTTTCAACACTTCCATTTTGAGTATAAAATAACCTCTGGCAACCGTACTGCTATTAAAAATTTTTGACTCATGGGGCCAGCAGGTTGGTATGGTGGTTAAGGGTGCTAGATTCCCACATGGTCAACTACAGTTCGAGTCCTGGACCTGGCGACTTGCTCTCTTGCTTTCCATTTCTCTCTCTCTGTGTCTGGTCAAATTAAAAGTAATAATAATAATAATACCAACAAATGGAATTAAATAAATAATTCTTAAAAAAAAAATTTAACCTGGGAACCAGCAGTTAGCATAATGGCTATGTCGCTGGATTCCCACATAGTTGACCACGGTTCGCATCCCGGACCCGGTAGCTTAGAACTCACGCCGGGTGCGTGTGTGTGCGTGCCCAAGATCCCGAGAGGAGAATGGAGGAGAAGGGATTGCGGCATGACCATCCCCCCTGGGGGGTGATTTCTCGCTTTCTGTCTCTATGTCTCTCTCTCTCTCTGTCTGGCGAGCGCTCACACCCTATAGCAAAAACCTCTCAAAAAAAAAAATTTAACCCAAGGTAAATGAATTATTTCTATTTCACCATGAGAAAATCTGAGGGAAAATAATAGTCTGAGGTCACAATTCTGACCAGCCTTACTAGGCTAGAATATGGAATACACTAAGAATCAGTGGCTCTTTGTATCTCCCCTCCAAATATACAGAGGTGGAATATATTAATGTGGAGTTCCTTTAGAATAGGTCAGGCCCACTGTGTACCTAAAACTTCATTATTGCTCTCACATGGCCCTGGGAAAATTATCCAACTACATTCTTCAATTACAAATAGTAGTAAAAAAATTCTACCTCAGAAAGTAAAAAGATAACAATGGAATATACTCTATAAGCCACTGAGAACAGAACACATAGATAGCTAATATTAAATTTTATCTATGTTATATATTTTATAATATATTTATACATGTATATTATTTTATATTTGTAATTCTAGATTTTATGTAAGAAATGGATCCTGTGCTAATAATGATGGGCCAAATGTATCTCAAGTCTCATCTTTGTTTTTATGTTATAAATCCATCATTATAGTATTTTTTAAAATATATGAATGCTCTTAGCATTCTCTTATGTTACCACTGTGCTTAATTCCCATTGCACTCAGTATGTACCTGTGTTGTAGTTCATATTCTGCTTCATACCAGACAGGGACTGTATATCCTGTTCAAAGAGTAGGATAATGCCATGCATCTATCTAACCGAAATCTAATGAAGGTCCATTGAATTATATTCAAGACGGCTAGTCTAGGTGAGATATCTGCTGCATGGTTTTTGGTTCGAACACCACTGAGGAAAGTATCCACCAGGAGCACTTGCTCATCATATCAAAGCAGATGTTTTTAGGTAATGCAGTTACTGCTTTTTTTTCTTAATTCATACCATGAGAGGTACAAGCAAAGACTGCCTGCAAACATAAACATTGGGGAAAGTTAGATGAGCTAGCTTGGTTCAACTCTAAGTGAATAGTGGATGTTATTTTGGGATCAGGATTTTTAGAACTCCAAAAGATTCTTAAGCAAGCTGGAAGAAAGAGGGTTAAACTCCCCATTTTTCTGAAATACCAATGGCTTTTTCACTCTTCAATGCAAAAGAAAAGCCCATTTAGATTTTCTTTTGCAATTATCACCTATTTGAATTCTGGTAACACTTATTTAGTTAGCAATCTAGCTTTTTCCTCTTTTTTTTTAATAAATAGATAAGTTTTTTTCTTTCATACATTGATATGAGGCAGTCATGGCTTTGATCTTTAATAGGACCATAGAGCCCTGTTTAACTGCAATTAGTCTTAGCACTGATATTCAGTCTCTGCATCTGAGTGGAGAAGAGAAGGCAAGCAGAACTCTTGGTATCAGGAATAAGGAAGAAGGTCTTGCCACTAAGAGTTTAAGCAAGTAGATAATTCCCACCCTGCTCAGTCATAGAAAATAATGAGATGGACAACTGCGAGAAGGATGATGCTCACCCCTGAACAAGTGGGTGTCTCCGGTTTCTCCTTTATATGTAATTTCATGTTATTCTTCCTATCCTTCCTCTTATCAACTGGCTGATTTGATTATTACATCAGAAAATAACTGCACAGATAGTTTTATGGATCATGCTGAGATTTTCAGCAAAAACACAAGATGGACCAAGCTGTCCGTATTACCCCTCTCTTAGTGGAACTCTTGTGTCTATAACATGGAAATTCAGCTGCCATCACCCTGTCTCCTTAGAGAAATCTATACCCTATTCTTCAAAGCACTGGAGCATATATAGGCAGAGAAGCTACTATCCTCATATGTGGATAGACTTTTCATGCTTCTTACATACCGCATGCACACACAGAGACACACACACAAATATACACATAAATACACAATATACACACATGCATGTATACACACACACACACACACTCATACTCCTCAATTATCTCTCTCAGATAATTTTTATTGAAAAGATTTTCTAGTCTTCGTAGTTGTCAAATCTGGTGGATTTTGCTTCCACCTCCATTGCAGCTGTCACTACTCTCTGGATCTTCAGCTGGACCTCCAGGTCAATACCATTTAATGTTGCTTCTTTTTGACATTTTCTCAAGGGGTTATCAGGAGCATTGAGACATAATGGTTATACATGTGTGCTCTGGAGCCAGGCAGCAAGTTCTTAGTTCTGATTTGATATCTCACAAGCTTTTTATTTTGGATCATGTTTCTTAGTCTTTCAATGTCAATGTTTCTTCATTTGGGATAAGAGTAATAGTATCAATGTTGTTAGAGTATTATAAATATTAAATAAATTAATACAGCTAAATATTTAGAAAGTGCCTGGCACATAGTAACATAGTAAATCCTTAATATGTATTAGCTCCTAACAATGTTCTATCCTCCATCTTCCCCATATCTCAATTGGTATCTGTTCTTGATTTTTGCTAATTTTAATTTAAAACTGTAAACTTTAGATTTCTTTTCTTTGTGTGATTTATTTCTAAGAGGCCCTTTCCATTTTTCTTTTTAATTTTTAATGTTCTTAAGTTGCCTACACTTCTTATGATGGAGTTGAACATAAGGAAACAAGTCCTGAAAGCTGGCTTTTCATACCTAACTCACAGAATTGTAAATTTTTTTTTTTTTTGGAGAGGTTTTTTTGCTATAGGGCACGTGTGCTCGCCAGACAGACAGAGAGAGACATAGAGACAGAAAGTGAGAGATCACCCCCCAGGGGGGATGGTCACGCCGCAATCCCTTCTCCTCCATTCTCCTCTCAGGATCTTGGGCACACACGCACACGCGCCTGGCATGAGTTTTAAGCCACCGGGTCCAGGACACGAACCGTGGTCGACTATGTGGGAGTCCAGTGACCTAGTCATTACGCTAACTGCTGGTTCCCTCACAGAATTATAATTTTGAAAGTTAAAAATCACCTCATACAAAACAGGCTCTCAATGTATGCTAAAACAAACAAATTTTCTCTTGTTTATCATTAGCCACAACGTGGCTAATCCCAGAAAAGAAAAACAAAGCAAAACCAAAAAAACTTCTATTTCCCCTCTCCAATTTAACTCTCAAGGAATATTCAGAGTCAAATGTAAGTGATGTATGTCTTCAGTTAGGCTCAGGAACATAATACTGTCTTTCAAAGCTCATTGGGTTATTTTAGTGTTGCATAGACACCTAATCCACCTATTAAACTGCAGATAGAGATGGTCGCAACCTACTTTTTAAGTATACTTTCTTTCATGGGATCCAACTGCCAAACTCACTTACTATCTTCCCATCTCCAGTCACTCCTTTTTGTCTCTTTTCTGTACCTTCCTCCTCTAATAAAATCCTAAATGATGATGTACCCCAGAGCTTGGTCGCTCTTCTCTTTAAATCCCTGTTAGCTTCCAGTATATG